GGCGGTGGTGGAGGACGACAGGCGTGCCAGCCGCGGGGAAAGGTGGGGGACGGCAGGCGTGCTGCAGGGGATGGTGGATGACTACAAATGGGAACACACATTCCCGGGAGTACTGTGTAAGAGAATTTCTCTCACTTCGTACTTTGTATTCCGGGTCAGGAAGTGAAGGATAGTCTCCATAATTGGATACAGACGGCAAAATAAAATAAAACACCTAGCCGGTTTTAGCCGTTGCCGAATTACTTAAGCTGTGGCTTTAAATAATGCTTCAAACCCCACCCTGTGTGTTGCGGCCGTTTTTTACTACGTACATCTAACGGATCAAATTCCTTACTTTTCAGGAGCAGTTTTCTGGAGACGAACTTGAAAAAACACTACCGAGCCGCAAAGAAAAAAGTCTGGGCTTGCTGTGCCATAAATTCCTCGCGCGGTACCCCGATTACCCCAACCCGGCCGTCAATAACAGTATATGCTTGGACGAAGTTGCTGGAGAGCTGAGTAAGTATACTGCACCCGCGTACACCTGTCATTTCTCCTTGTTTTTGATTCTGCACTCGTCCACAAGAAGGAATATTATGTTCAGAGATGGCGGAGCTTCCTGTGGCTGTGCTGGGAATGAACGCTTTACGTATACACGGTGTGCGCTGGAAACATAGATGTGTAGTGGGAGGGTGTGAATGGAGGTGTCATGGTGGAGAGGAAGTGCTGACACTTGTGTTTGCTCCCTGATCACACATTGATGGCGTGACATTCCACACTCTTCACATGGACATGAGGAAGGCAGGGTGGTGTTCTCGTGGTGTATTGCTAGATGGAGCTGTTGTTTCACATTGGCTTTAAATCATTTTGATGTGTAAAATTGTTTAGTTAAGGCCTCATTTAGACCGCGTTGGGCCACCCAGTGTACGAAGGAGCGGGATTTCTGTGCCCGGAAGTCACAAGTGTCTGAATACAGCTTTTCAGTCTTGCACAGTTGTACCGACTCTGCTCCTGGACTGAAATTGCTTCCTCTGATTTCACTGCACACTGTGAGCTTCTCCCACTGTGCATTAGAAGCGGCAGCAAGTCAGAGCCCGCCTTATTTCCTGGCTGGAGGACGTCCAG